AGGAAAAATGATGACGATGAAAAAGTAAATATATATAAGTATATTCCCATTTATTCAATTTGAACTTGTTTTGCATAAAGTGACGACTTCTTTGCCGGCATAAGTCGAATGAAAACATCCGAATCGTTTCACAGCATAATAGCATGAGAATTATATAGGTGCTATAACGAGTCAAACTCAATCTATCTCGCTCGCCCATTGAAAAGTGAATTGGATTCATTAGGTTGATGTGCGAGCGCGTAAACAAGCCAATGTACGCGTTCACCGTCGCAACATTAATTGAAACGTATGATTGCTAGCCGGTTGTCGATTGCCGCCTGAGTGTATGTGTGTTATAATTGCCATGCATTTCTTGCAATTCTGTCCATTTCAATTTGGTTTGAAAACGATTTTGATCGTTTCGTTTGTTTTGCGATTGTAATTTATTATTATATTGTATGGAACGCAAATTGCGCTAGAGCAAAAGGGACATCAAATCGACAACAACAACGACGACGACAAAGACGACAACAGCAACAAAAAAAAGAGAATCTATCGTCATCGTAGATTGTCAATTTCGTGCCAATTTTAATTAATTTTGTGTGAACGGAACACACCGTGCACAGAGTTTTTCCATCTGTTCGACCTTAACCAAACACAAAACGAAAACTCATGAACTGTATCAATTGACAATTTTAAAATTGCTATATATTATATATAGTGTTTGTGAATGTGAGCAACGCTATATATAGATTTTAATATGCAGACGCTCAAGCACATTCTAATATGCAGAAAATGATTTTCCAATTATTATTACAGCAAAAATGATCGATTTTAGACAAAAGGAACTTAGTCTAGTTCATCCGACGGTATGATATTTATGCATGTACATTTGGTGAACGGTGCGATCTAATTGAATAAATTCGCTGAACCGAAGAATTGCATCACATCGATGAGTTTTACATGCAATTTGATGAATCCAATCAAAGGTTTCTTTCTTTGTGTTTTCATTTTCAAACAGTTGAATTATAATTGCAATAGTATGTTTCGTATAAATAATTTGAAATGATCGTGATTTTTATGATGTTCAACTTATTATCCTCATGTTCATGATTTATTGATCTATTTTTTGTCGTAATACTTTTACTAAATCCATTTCAAAATTATATACTTAGAATGGATCGCAACAATAAGCGTTTAATTTAAAAAAAAAATCCTCAAATTTAGAAGGGCAATTCTCTTTGGGGTTTTCTTTGTTTTTGACTTCTTGAACCCTGATCAGACGACACCCTGTAAAAATATTGATTTTTGTCCGAAATTCGCAAAATTTATGTTGACATAATTTCTTTTTAATATTTTCTAAAATCTCATAGCGTTGATAATTGCATGGATTTGTAATGCATATATATAAATTGAGCAATTAGTCAAAAGCGAAGCGCCTAATCAGAAAATGTGACGTACTAAATGATCATAATTGTCGTGTATACACGTTGAGACATCAATCACATTGAAAAATTTCTCTATTTTTAAAAGAAAACATTTTCCATAAATGACATTTGTCATTTTCATTTAAATGGGACGAAATGAAGAGAAAAAAAAATAAGTACCCGTAACTATTTCGCGATTTAATTGAATGTGTTCATTAAATCATTGTAGTGTTTTATGCGACGGACAATCTGCACAATTTTAATTGGAGCTCGCAAATTGACAAAACAATGAAAATGTGAAATAAATGTATCTAGAGTCGGTTTGAACAAAAGACGACCCATTCTCTTTCTACTGTAACAAAGCAAATAAAATAGACAACAAATAACACACTCGATGTCTATCTATGAAGAAATAAATAAAAAAGTGAAGGATTCTATGTGCGGTTAGTATAAAACGTAAGTACGAGAAATTTGGGTGTAGTTCGCATATTCACTTTGATTTTTCTGACATTTTTCACAGAGCTCATCTCTAGTATGCATCGCGTTATTATGTGTACTGTGTTGTTGTTTTTGCTGTCGTAGTGGTGCTGGTTAGCCATTTGTTGATCTCAATTGTTTTACTATGGGTTTTGTGTGAGTTGGTGAATGGTTTGAAAATGTCAACTATTTGCTTTTCCTATAATTCTTTTCAGTTATTATTTTTATTGCTCTTTTTTCCATCTCGTTCGCTGTGGAGAGTGAAGATTACCGTTTTCTGTACCAGCAACACCAATGGTATACGAAAAGCACACTAACTCTTGGGTTTGATCTCTGCGTTTTTTATCCATTTTTCTGTTTCGATTTTAGTAGTTTGTGTTTTTATATACATATATTCGCTTGAAAAACGAAATAGCAAATGAGCAGCGATAGAAAAAAAAGAGTAACAGTCAATGTCGATTTATTTATTAAGTGTGAGGGAGCAAGAAAATGACGACACTGAACCCATTTGGCATGGTATTGTCACACCGCCACCACATTTTCGAATGTATGTGCGCGCGCACATTACTTTGTGCGCGTAACGAAGCCAATTCGAAAGAAAGCCTCTCGATCGATTTTCATGAGAATGCCGCGAATTAAGAATAAACTAACGAAACAAACAAACGAAAAAAAACAATATTGAAATGAGCCAAGTGTGCGCTGGCGTACGCGAAACGAGATGATGTTGTGACACCCAATATCACACAGAAAAAATAACATCCGTGAAAATATTGGAAACAGAAATGTTGCAATATAGACACACACACAAACAACCACATACATGGGCGAGAGAGCACTTAGCAAAAAACCAATAAAGTGGAAAATAGCAGCCGATATCAGAAGTGACTTGACTCGTTGACTCTCTTTTTTATGTGTGTGTGTGTGTGTGTCTTTCTATATACATTGATCGTGAGCTTGAGTGCGACAGACTCGTCCCAGGCCGAATGTTCAGACATCGGTTTTATTGCAAATATGCAAATTTATTACTTAATTATTGATTTGTGGAATTGGTTTGGAAGCGCACATGCGCGCAAGCACAAATACTTATAAACTACAATGAGATTTGCGAATGAAAGAGATCGTCAAATCGAGATAATTAGGAACGCCACAACACAAGAGTGCAACGAAACAAAAAAAAACATACACACACATAACGCAAACAAACAAACACATTTTTATAGAAAAAAAGCCACAGTCAAAGAAATGGAAATAGAACAACGATGCAAATCCAAACAATGTAAATCAATAAAAATGAAGAGCAACGATGCCAGGCATGGCTTGTAATTGGCGGGAATCAATGCAATAGACATAAATGATCCAATTTAAATGCAAATCAAGGCAAAATGCGAAAATTGAGAACAAGTCACCGACACAAAGACACAGCAAACGAACAATCGATTTCCAAAGGAAATAGTTCCATATTTACCGCAACTCCGCTTGTGAACTCTCCGTACCGTGCATGAAATGAAATAAACGAAAAATCAAACAGAATATCAACACATTTGCATCAATAAAAAGACGACGGAGAAGAAAAAATGGGAATAAACAATCGAATCAAACATAAAATCTGACACTTAGATCTATGATGTTGCAGAAAGTCGATGTAAAAATTCTCTCATTTTTCTTTGTTTAATGAATTTTTCATCGAAGTTTTCGTTGCCTCTGCTTTGAACAAATGGAAAATGATACGAACCAATTGCAGGAAGGCGATTATTATTCTAGCGGATGATCGATTGCCGAAAAGCGATTAAACACAGTCCAAATATAGACATTAATTAAAATTTACTCTTTTTTTCGCCTTTAATCAACTACACTTTTCTCCTCGTATTTTTTCTCATACCTTTTCGCTCTTTATTTTTCACGTCACCATTCACTTTACTAATTGATATTTCGGCATAGGTCAAAGTGTACTTTGGGCCTTATTTCATACAAACTGAAAAGTTCACATACATATTTTGCTTTTGGCATCGAATAGTCTCATCGCAATCGGTACACAGGCATACATTTATAACCAACAACAAAAAAAAACCATCTACATTTTTCCGAATCAATCAAAGACGAATTAATTTTTAATTATGGCATTCGATTTGAAATCAACGAACGAACGAGAAAAAAAAATTCAATTGAATTTTTGACGTATCGATTTCGCAGCCGACCAAATCATCTCTAGCTAATTATCATCCAAGTTCTCTATTGCGATATGCAGCTCTTTTATTTGTTTTCTATTTAGCCGAAAGAATTGATTCAATCCAATTTCAATACATAAATTACATAGTCATTGATGATCACTTCATTAATTCCAAGTGAATTGGAAATGAATGCCGTTGAAACTGCAATCTAATAGAAACTATTGAACCGTTTGATATTCGAAACGGAGATTGTATGTAAACAACGAAATTGAAACAAACGACGCCTTAATTGAATGTGAAATGATGAGAGCGTGTATGTGTTGAACGATAATAATTAGCTTGTAACCTGAATTGATTTGTTTGGATTAGCTGCGAATCATTGTGTGCGCACAATAGTGAATTGCATCAATTTTTATTCTAAAAAAAAAGACTTCAATTGATCATTGAATCGAAACCAGACATATTAACGTTTTAATTCAATGGTCTCACCGAATCTTGATTAGTACAAAGGAAAACGATGCAATTCCATAATTGGAATGGTCAACGGAATCTCAAATCAAAATACTGGATAAATGTAAAAATTCCAAACCTGAAACGAAATCACTTTTCGTCGTCAAAACAATCTTCAAGTGTAAATTCAACAAATCCTTAACTTATGACACTGATTAACACTAAAATTACCTGAAAAAAAAGAAGAAATGTCGATGTGAAAATCGTTTTATGCCTGTACACTGTAAGAGTTTATATGATTCATATAAATGAGTGTCAAACTAGTGTGAAACGCTCTATAATTAGGAAACACTCTAAAATGTTTATATGAAAAATAAAATCGAACGATTTTTTTTGTGGAATTTGTTCGCAAAGATGAAACTTCCATAAAAACGAAACATTTTATGATCGAAATATAATATAACCAAAAGAAAAAAGAGAACGCGAGAAAAATAGCTACCTTGGTTATTTTTGTTGTTGCTTGTTTGCTCGAGGAAATGGAAATCACGGTCGAAAAGTGTGTTCCGAAAGTGTTGCTTATCGAATTATCCGATTGTATGTATGTATCTTGTTACAAAATAACTGCTGCTGTTGTGATCACAGATTCGGATTCAGTTGGTGGCTTGTATGCGCAATGCTGAATTTTGAACTGAAGATGAAACTGTTGTTGTTGTTGGTTTTTTTTTGTTCGTATTGTTCACACTGAACGCTTTTGTTTTCGAAATTGCACATCAATCAAGGGAATGCCAAGCACGATTTTATTTTTTTTCTCTTGATTTTTCTTATTTTGATTCTCTGTCGATTATCATATATAATTGTGAATTGATACGGATTTTTTTTTTCTTCATAAAAGAATGTTCGCGTGAAAACTGTTTATTGTCTTTTTTCCGCTTCGATTTTGTCGTAAAAACACCTTAAAAATCCACCTTAAAAGTGCACATTCACATAAAATAAATCGTAAATAAACACTAATTTAGGTAAAGAAAAACATTCTTCCTTTGGGTGATTGCTGTTCCGAATTTCTTTACTTCTTTTGATTAAATATTTCTTTTTATTTTAATTCAGTTTATTTGCGTCAAACGATTTCTGACGAGAAGGATTAAAAAAGATAACTACGTCATTCAAAATCAGTTCAGTTTTTGCATGAGTTTTAGTTTCATTTACGGTTTTCTATGTTCACTATTTCATCACAACAATTGACACCGATGCATTTTATATCATTTAAATTTAAGCAGGAGTGAAAATATTGTTTAATGAGTGTGGGAGATATCAGATTTTATTATTGGTAAGCAATCAAAAACAAAAAAAGAAACAGCCTTTTGTCGCTGGTATTAATTCTGCTTTTGCTTAAAGAAGTGTTCCGTATTAAATGCGAAGCAAAAAAAGTGTGGTGGTGATGAGATGTGCGCAATTTTGGTGTGGTGCAATACAGATATATATGTACATATTGCCTTGTGGCAGCATCAATGTTGCATTCATGAACCGAAATGAAACATGGCTTGACCCGAAAACAACGAAATTTTTTTTTGTTCATCCATGCACGTTTTTTGCTTAATTAAAACCGAAACCAAGACACACACGAGCGAAATGAAAGAAAAAAAACCTCTTTCTCCTTATTCCCGGTGAGTAAGTTGTCGTCGTAGTCGGTGTTGATGTCGTCGTCGTCGTCGCATCAATTCACAACACTGCGTGTTCAATGCAAATCGAAGCATAGTATTCTTTTCGTATTTATTTCAAAAATAAATATACTTATTTCGTTGGAGGCTCTCTGATCTGTCGGGTGTTCAATTTTAATTTTACCTTCTTCTTCTTCTTCTTTTTTCTTTCATGAAAGAGAAAAATGACGTTTTTATTTTTGTTTCATCCGTTTAATTTAGTATTGATTGCATTTGCTTTTGCACGTAATTTAATTCAATTATCGACCCAGTGCCACCGCCTGCTGCTTTTGTCTTTTCGTGTCACTGCAAAGAGGTTCACGCTAAAGTTCTGCTTTTTATTATTTGTGTACGTTGTGACGTTCTTTAATTTTTGATATTGCTGCTATTATTTGGTTGATGTTAATTATCATCACTGCTGAAAAAGTGCGCAACACCGATCGCATAAAAAAAGTCACAACTCAAAATCAGATAGATACACACAACGAACTTATTATGAAAATGTGCAATTAATGCCATTGTTGATGTGTCGATTTGCTGCATGCAGTTTTAATTTGTACGATCATACAATTTTATTTTGTCTTTCGTCAAATAATTCACAATATTCCATGAGCAATTTTTTTTTCGTTGGTTTTCGTTCATTTGACGGTGAGTCTGTTGCATTTTCTGTGTGCCAATATTTTTCGTTTTTATTTGCGTCGTTTATTTTATTTTTATTTTTTGTTGTTTCGTGTGTGTGTGCATGAGACGATCAATGCTCAATAATATTCGTCGGTTTTATTACTTTGACCGTTCACATGCACTGGCACCAGCGTGCGTTTGTTTCTCTTGGCTCTCTTGCTTGATTAACTTGTTCATTAAAACATTAAGAGAAGAAGAAAAAAAAGCTCCAGAGAAAAAGAGAAAGAACGAGCAATGGGTGTGTGAGAGAGAGAAAGAGAGGTAGAGAGTGAACGAATGAAGTATGAAAATTGTGTTAATGATTGAATGTGTGTCGTTTTGTGGTGAGAGAGATGCAGCAAAATCCCGAATGAATCCGCCGAGCCAAAATGGAATCAGCGCGAGGAGAGGATGTTGAGAGCAACGCCGAGAAAAATGATTCCTGATCAAAGGTTAGCTATGTTAATTATTTTATGGATTTTGATGTGTGTGCACATGCACTGTGAGCTCAATATTAACCGTCACTTTTTTCCTGTTCTTCGTTCTTTTTGTTCGTCTATTCATATATGTATGTTTACATCTATCAAGAGTCTCTCATGTGAGTTGTTGTAGTTCTCTTTTTTTTTGCTTTTCAAATTTTAAATTCACAATTTGATATTTTTACCGCTCTCTCAATTGATTTCAAGTTTATTGCACAAGCACTTTGCGAATATATCAAATCAAATCAGCGCGAATGGTTTGCCAGCTCTATCAATGTGTGTTTGTTTCGATTTTGCATTTAGATATTGTGTCTATGATCATCATTTGCTTTGTTTTTTGTTTCTCTTTGCATTGAGGATACAACAAAAAATCACACTCCGTTTTTTTTCTTCTTCTTTGCAATTTTGCGAAAGAGACTGAAACAAAAAAACAACTACGTGTTCGTCGTTAAGAACAATAACGATCGATGCGAGAGAGTGAGAGCATAGAACAACGTGTAATCAGTTTTTATTTATAGTTTCTGACGTTTTTAGCGTTTAATAACAAACAAACACATGTGGGATTCCCATACCATACGAATCACACTTAATCTGCATCCATACATTCGATTGTTCGGAGAACCGTTGATGAGATACACGGCCGTCGTTATTGTTGTCGTCGCCGTTGTTTCTTCTTAATTCAGATTTTTATAATTCTGTTACGTTTTTTTTTAAATCAACAATCGTTGCAAATATTTATAATGACAATAAGCAAAAATCATTATGTTTATGACTCATTCCCGTCACCAATATCGTGCTGATCGTGCTCTGTTACAGTAAAACACACTACATACATATTACTATTTTTTTCCGTAAATATGTAAATTTAATCGATTTTAACGACGTCGTTATTCACCTATATATTTCTAAGTATCGTGTGTCTAAGGTTCAAGTTGAAATCTTAACCGGATTCCAATTCTCATACGACTTATCAAAATTGAAAGATCATAATTATACACAAACCACCGAATTAAAAAAAATTCTGGAATTTTTTTTCTGGCTTTCTGTCATCGGCCGTATTTCGAAATCTTTTGCTCTGTCTCTCTTTTATCAAATTTATTCATAATTAGTTTCGATTCGGATTGAATTTCTCGATTTTATTTTCTTGTTTTTTTTACTTTTCTTTTTCGGTTATTTTATTTAGAGTTGAATGTTTTTCTATCATTTAGTCTACATTCGGAAATTTATTTGAACGTTAAATATTTTTCACCGTGGCCACATTTGATTCTACACCTTTTAATAATTTTCCCACGGAACTATTTGATAATCCACTTGAAAAACCGTGTTCACTGTTTGTGAGCGCTGGGCGGCAACATTTGTGCTTATCACTTAATTGGAACTTAGTTGCGATTCGCTCGTATCAACTGAACTGGAACAAAACGTGTGTTTGTCAAAGTGAAACACAGCAAAAAAAATCGATCGCGTTGCACAACTGCCTACAATTAAACTAATAATGTGTCTGCCTCTTCTCTTTTTCTTTTCAAATCAAAAAATATCAGTCTCTCGATTCGTTTTCTGAATTTATCGTTTTGAATCGTTTTGATTTATAAAAACACAAAATTATGACATTTTATTTATTTATAATCGCTTTAATCCTTGTATAATAGCCGTTTTTTTTAGTTCTTTGAGCTCGAATGTCGAAAAGCGTGCACAAAATCTCTCACTCGTTACACCCGATATGTGTGTTTTTGTGCTTGCGGTACTATGCGTAATTCGTTTATGTCTTTCATGTGTTTTGTTTTATCCACTCAGAGTCACCTCTTCAATCGTCATTCTTATATATATATATATATTTCTCTCTCTCGTTTTGTTGCTGCTGTTGCTGTCGTATTGATGTTCTCTTTCACTCTGTGGAACTTGAGTATAGCATCGAGTGTGCGTATTTCGATCGATTGTGTGAGAGAGCGATGAGCGCTTCTTCGTATGATTATCAATCTCAGTATTTATTAGGTAGATGTTTTTCACAGAAGAGTCATTTCACGACTGAAGACACTCTCGTACCAAGTACAACCGGCATAAAAATTCAGAGAGCGAACGGCGACAAACGGCAACAACAACAACAACGACGACGACACAACCAAACATCACATCAACATCATCATCATCATCGTTCGGTTCGTTTATTCGGTCGGCTGTCTGCATGGGCAAAGCCTAAAATCTCTCCCTCTTACACATATTGCCGTGTGGTACGACATGAAAAAGTGAGCAAGAATATGCGATTGCAAGCACCGAGCACAGCGTAAGCATGATCGGTAACAGCAACCAGCAACAACAACGTCGTCGTCGCCGTCGTCGGACCAGCAACCAATATAACAAAAACAGTAGTAGAACAAAACCGAAGATACATTGAAGCAACAACAAAGCAACAAACAAACAAATGTTAAGCATTAAAGTTAAGACCTTTTGCTTGTAATGTATACACATATTGATACTTGGTTGATAGAGGCGCTTTTTTCTCTCTCATTTGCGATGATCATCATATCTGGTTGTCGCTGGTTGCTATCTTCATGTGATCACTAGTGTCTGCTTGAATATTGTTTGGTTGGCCATCGAGAGGCAATAAGCTACCTACAACGTTCATCAGAGAGACTGCACCATCATCCTGAGAAAAAAGTCGCCCGCTTTGTCGATCGAGCAATTGTGCATTTGTGAGTTGATAGAGGTTCGGTCTTTCTCAGTTTCGCATAAACCGTACGGCACACAGTCAATGGTCATATCTTGCTTTTTCGCGATTCACGGCTCAATTGCGCCAACCAATATCATTGTGTGTGCGCGCGCTGGACGTGTGTGCATTATAATGAATTTCGCGCAAGTGTGAACGATTGTGTGTGCGTGTGTATTGCGCGCCAACCGCGCGTTCGACTGCTCACTCACCACACGAATTAAGAGGGACAAAATTCAACCAAATAGGATTCATAGCACGTTTGATATAATGTAACAAGTAATAAAAATAAATAAAATTTAATGTGCAATGAATGTGTGTGCGGTTTTTGTTTTAATTCCACATGCTTTTATCTTATTTGCTCTGTTACTCTTGCAATTGATGTGTTTTGCATTGCTGTTGCATTTGATGTGCGATGGATTTCTGATTGTATCGGTATCTCTCCATGCAAGTGATTGCCATTCAAACGCTTTACACACTGTCACACGTTAGTCATATTTAACGTGATTATTTTCAAGCTTAATGCGCGCCCGTGCACTGCGCTATATTTTTTGTTGTTGTTATTTTACTTTTCATATTCGTTTCCAGTTCGGTGCTATGTGCGCACATCTACAGTTTCACTCAATTACGTGTGTGCTTGGTGTGATGTGCATTTTTTTACTCTTTTCTCACTTCTTACCTCCTTATTATACGAAATAAGTGCATCAATTATTCAATTTGCTCATTTCAATTTGATTGCTTAGCTATTGCCCGTTTCCCGATGCAGCTCTCTGGCCACATCGTATTCGATTGTACATTATGGCTATTCAATTGTGTCGCTCACTCAATTATTCGTTTATTTGGTGTCGATGTCTGTTGTTGGTGTCGCCTTTTTTTCGCTCGTTTCACTCTCTCTCTCTCTCTCGCTCTCGCATTTTTGTACTTCTCACCAGAAGATGTGGCTTATGAATTTTATTACTATCGTATTTTTCATCATACGCATCACCAGTTATCGACATCTAACACACAATCATTTCCTCGAATTTCAATCGTATCATCACAACACCATCAAACAAAACACCTTTTAATGATGCGACATTCAAATTGCATAAATTGAAAATGTTTATGACACTTTGGTTGGCATCTTTCAAACATATTTCGGTTTCCGTATTCTTCGGAGCAACAGTTTTTTTCGGGTTCGCGTACATGCATTAATGCGATGTGTGCAAAAGACTTTTATAAGCGAGAAACCTCACGTTATTAGATGCATGCTGTTTGACAGAACTAAGCGGAAAATATAACGAACAAATTCGTATTATTAATAAAATAGATACTATTTGACAAAAACTTTTAACGAAAACAAATAAAAACACACTCGCCGGGCCTTATTCCAGGTGATTTGGGGTTCTTGTTGCATTTGGCGAGAGAAAGAGAGAGATAGAGAGAGAAGTGGCATAAAAAGCGTTCCGACACACAAAAACTCTAATTCGTTCATTTAATCGGAATTCACAAATTTAATACGCTCCTTGATGATGATTGATAAATGATGTTCGTCTCTTTGGCAGAGCGCAATTTTTTTTGTTTCTATCGTTTCTCTTTCGATCTCGACTTTGTGTTAAGGCCACACTAAACATACATCACATCGAAAAGGGAGTAAAAAAGAGACAAAAATATGAGAAAGAGAAAAAAAGGTGAAACAACGACGAAAATATTTTGAAAACAATTAAATGTTGATTGGATCGTTGTTAGCAAACAAAAATGAATGAACAATGAATGGTGTAGAGATGACGAAGAAAAAGAAGATAAAGTGAGCAGCAGCAGCAAAAAAAATCACATCACACTCGATTCATATCGAAATGTGAACAGCATTCAGAACAAAGTTTTTACGGTACAATCGATAAAATGAACAAATTTTGCACACTTTTTTGCCGTCTCATGCCTGTATCACTACTATCTCACTCACGCTAGTTGCACTGTTGCCCCCCGGTTGCATGCAGTTTTTTTTGTCTCGCTTGCCATTTGAACGGCAAAACAATAAATAATAACCATCAAATACAAACGTGTGAGTTAGTAAATCAAATGTTTTTCAACTGCTTGTGTGTCTCGCATTTTTTGTTTCTGCTGCTGTTGTTGTTGTTCTTTCTCTTCGAGAGTGTGACAACACTGCAGCTCAACTTATTGTTGTTGCTGCCGTTTTCAACAACAAGAAAACTGTTTGTCTTGTGTTGTGTTGTGTGCTACATTGAGACATGTGATATTTCTCAAATCGATCGAGACTCCTCGAAATCAATATATAATGAAAAATTACTTTGCACTCGACAATGAACGAAACAAAGCGTGACAATTAGGGGGAACACAACCAAATCATCTGCTTACCGATCATCATCAGTTTCTCGAGCAATGTGTGTGTGTGTGCGAGCGGCGTTGTTGTTGTTGAATGCCAATCGTTTATCGATTTTGATGGTGTCGTTATCGCTTCAAGCTCATTTGCTCACATTGTAATCGAACACTCTTCGTGAATTGTGAGAGATGCTTTACAAGCAAAATCCCAAAACAACCAATTTTCGAAAAAGAAGTAGAAGAAGAAGAGGAAAAAAACATTCGAAAATGGAATATGTGTGATTTTTCAAGAGAAACAAGAGTTATTGTTTGTCGCGCGGCAAAATCTGATCTGACTTTTGACCAAATCCACCATAAATTATTGTTGGTTATTAGATATCTTACGACAGAAGCAGTTTTATTGACCCGCTAAAAGCAATTTACAGATTTTTATATCTCAAAAATAAAGATGGTTTTTTTTTCTTCATTTCAACAAACCGAATTCAACTTACACATTCAGCTTCTATGTTCGAACCAGCAAAAGCAACAGCAAACACAAATATTTGATATGGAATTTCAATTGTTGATGAAATATTTTGAGTAAAAAGCTTACACAAAGTGATAAAAGGCGGCAGATTGATGTAAAGCCTCTGAAAAAATATGAGGAAACGAATGAACAACCAAATCACATATATTCGTTACGATAAAATGTGAATTAATTGTTTTTATGTGGCACATAAAACGATAAAAACTCCCAATTAATAATTCATTTTTTCATATTTGCATGCATTTCATGGGCGACTTCATGCCGATTATCAATGATTTTGTCTTCTTTTTGTTTCCAACGGGTCATTGCAGTTGTGTTTTTTTCTGATGTTTTTGCTTGTGATTGTTTTTTTTATTCGTGCATTTCTTCTGGATGTAACGCTTATTCACTTCAACTAATCTGTTCGGAGACTCAGTGTGATCGCTTATGATATTCGCTGGGTGTGTGTGTTCATCGTTGTTTTATTTTTGTTTCAGCTTTTGGATCGCGCTTACACACATTTGGCAGAGACACATTTGTTTATATCAAGCATTGCTTACAACGAAATATTAAATTCATTGCCTCACACTCGGCACGACATTCAATTTTATTGTTATCGTTTATTATTACTTTTTTTCGGTAATCATTAATTTGTTGTATCTTCGTCGTCATCCACAGTTGGCTACCTACCTCACGTTATATCTGTCTCTTTGCCCTTCCTCCGACAGTGACCACAACAGAAAATTGCAACTGATCAGTTACACACACAAATCGTTTCATTTTTAATAATTTTGTGCATTGATTCATTTGGATATTATTTCGGATGTTTTCGGAGCTTGCGGCGCAGCAACCCATTGAATTTGTAATCACCGCCATAAAATGTATCTCTCTTCGGACTGGATCACAGACCGATGTCATTCGATTCGAATTCACGAATTGCAATCGGTAATTGTTTCAAATAAATAATGTTTTATTAATAAGAAATGGTGATGATGACCACGTACGGGCACACTGTCCACATCATCACATGACCCTCGACTCGTTCGGTGAATTTTATTCGATTGGACGACAAAGTGCGGCAGAAAAATGATAAGTAAGAGAGGGAACGAGCGAGGGTGAGACTTAATGTATTATACCTTGGACAGGCTGTCAAAGGGAGAGAAAAATATAGATGCAAATGTAAGCGAAAACTCAAATAATTCAGCGCGAAGTGCTTACATTTAAATAACCAAAAATATGAGGCCTGAAAAATTAAGGATATAAAACTCCATGCGAAATCATCGATGTCGCGAATAAAAAAAAAGAGACAACACACACACGAAAGTTGATGCGGAAAAAAGTGTGTTGCACGCAAAATTTGGTCACATTTCTCCAGAAACACCAAACATAAAACATCGACGAGTGCATGTAATTTAATCACATTCGTGTTCCGAACGCGGAAAAAAATATATTCGCCAGCGATAAGAGAAATAATCAAGCAAGCGA